GGCCGCTAGATGCGATGTGATTAATTTGACAGTAAAAACAAGATGGCGCTTCCCCGCCATTTTGCGTAACTTATTTTTTAGGTTAGCTCGACATATTTTTAATTATGGATTTACAAATCTTACTAATATTATAGCGAAAGTTTAGATGGAGGTTTGTTGGAGTTTGGAGTCTAAACTGCTGAACAGATTTGGTTAAAATTTGGCATATATATAGAGGATAGTCTGGAAGATCACACAGGCCATTTGTTTTTTTTTTATTCCACGCGGATGGATTTGCGGGCAAAAGCTATTACAATATAAAAATCACTAATTGATTTAAATTAAAACACTTTATTCTAAAGATGATATAAAAAATCTGTCTATTTTTATATCGGAGTGAAAACTAGTGTGATTCTAGAAATAATAAAAAAAGTTATTTATTTATTAATTACTTAAAAATAAAAATAAAATAAAATGACATTTAATCCTTAGCAACACAACACAATCAGAAATAATGACAGCAAAACAGACATGACGTAGAAACCAAGTAGGGAAAAAAATGTAATTAACCAAATAAAATATTATAAATCATAGTGATGCTGACCGGATTGGGTCCACACTCAGCTTTGTATGCTTGTATGCTGGGTGCTACACAATGAGGCACCCAGCGCTGATCTTCCGCGAGAACCCTGAGATCATGCGCATGTCAGTATAATGTCATACTTCTAGATGGTATTAAAGAAATGTGTCAGTGTAAATAAAGAACAGGAATATTTAAAAAATAAGTAAAGACATTAGTTGAATACTCATAAATATTTAAATTCAGACAAGTTGTGTGGTCTTTAACCAAATTTGGCAACATCCGAAACGCGGCGGGAAACAATGTTTTCTACAGAGTTTTATGCATAGTGGATTTAAACACAAAAGTAACCGAAAGAGAAGACAAACGTGCTAAGACCGAGGTAAGTGTAATTCCCTGGTCTTTAGGAAGGTTGGAAATAATGTTATTGTAGAACACCTTACTGCACTTAGTTCGTTAAAGAATTTGATTTCTTTCGTGGTTGAAAAATAGATATTGTAATGTGTCTGTCAAAAGACTAAAAACGTCATCTGTCACTTCTGACAGCGACACGTGTTCTGAAGAAACGCTGATCCATTATTTCGCTGAGGTTTGAGTTTTCCATTATAATTGTACCTTGTGACTACTGTTTTCCCTTTTTTTGGATGTGGAAGTGTTGTTCCTACACGCGGCGTCGTAGTTGAAGGATCGGAGTATCTGCTGCCCAGAAGTTTAGGAAGCAGCCAACAAGCCGAAGGCAGCCAATGAGCTGAACTCAACTGATGTGCTTATCGCTTCCTTGTAAGCGAGAATAACGCGACAATATTTAACCAACTATTTTAAAAGACTATTAAATTAGAGTTTAATATAATTCTTCTGATCAAAGTAACATAAGTAATTATACTCCTGTTTCTTTCCTACAAAAGTTGTATTTAAAATTTCAGTACGAGTTTAACTTTTTTATTTTTATTTTCAAAATAGCTTTTAGTAACAGATACAAAGCGAGAGCTTCATTGTGATACAAGATCGTGATCAATTTAAAGTGCACTCTTTACTGCGTCTGCGGGTAAAGGTGCGTTTACAATGTAGGTATTCGTCCCAACGACCTATACCTTCAGTATGGACGGGCTTAACCTCACCCGTTATACCAAATGTACAGACGTTTTAATGTTTAGTATCCACAGTTGTAAGCTCTAAGACAGTATATTCCATCCCTTTTATTCTCTTAGATAATAAAAAAGATGACAATTATTTTCTACATGTATTCTGACAGTTGACAATTCACTTTACCTCATTATTTTCAAGAATTTGAGATGCAACAAGTTTTTATGTCTGCGTTTCACGAGCTTTTTCTACACTAGTATTCGCTCGCGGCTTCTTTCCCAATTATTAAAACAAAAGCAAGTAGCTTTATGTTCTTCCGGACTATCCTCTACATCTATGCCAAATTTCGTCGAGATCCGTTCAGCCGTTTAGACTACAAACTCTTACAAACATCCATACATCTAAACTTTTGCATTTTTAATATTAGTAAGACTAGTATGTACATTATCTATCTACTGGGTATTTCGTTTTCCACTTTCACTGTGAACAGTGACTTATTACGGTCAGTAAAAAGAATTGACAACAGCCTGCATCTTCGACACCCTATCAGATGGCCGGACGCGTAAATTAGATCACCGTATGCTATCCGTACTTTAAAGGACAAACATAAACTTTTGCACTTTTTATTGTCATAAATAATCTGTTCATTGACTTTATAATCATCATTCTTTTATTAGCAACCCATCGACAACCTTCCAATTTTATTGACATACGGTGGAACCTTGCATATTTATCTACTATGAAACAACACAGGTGTTATAAAGTAAATTTTTATCTTAATATCGTAAGCCAGTTAACAAACGTTCATTAAAGACTAACTGTTTCTCGCGATTCGTTTACGTGCAATATAGCCTCTAACTCAGCGTTAACGTAGCTTTCTAATGGTCAAAGAATTTTTAAAATCGCCCTAATAGTTTTTGAGTTATTCCAATGCATCCAAAAATAAAAGTCTTTACTCTTTATAATATTAGTAACTATAGGTTATTTTACATTTGATTGAAACCTTATACGTTCATAATTTATATAAAATTCTATTTTCGTAATAATAGACATACTAGAATATGTGTTCTATATGTACTTATGTTGTCATATTATTGAAGAACGAGATGTAGAGTGCTACTAACTTAATAGGCCAGGTATTCTTTCCCTCGAGGCGAACATAAGAGATCAACTAAGTTATATTTCGTGTTAAGGACGATGTATTTGATACCATTTTAAGTGTTAACGACTCTACTGCTAAAGTAATACAACGCTTATTCGTGAAATATAAAAGGTAGACTTAACAGCAATTTTTAACCCTTAGTTCTATAGTGTCCAGTGTGACGAATAACTAGTTAAAAAAACGATTAATATTTCATATCCAAAATGTGACTACTAAAAAAATCTCCGTCGAATTAGGGGTTAAAGTTATTTATTAATTAAAAATAAAAACAAAAACAGATTTTAAAAATATATTTTTAAATTGAAAAACGATACAAGGATTTATAAGTGTATAGTGCAGTATCAATAGCAAGAATACAAATAAACGTATTTGAAATGCATAATATTCAAAAGAGATTTTTATTTTTCTTTTGAACCCTGTGTACAAATACGCAATGTAATTAAGATGCAAAATATATTACTGATTAACACATCAATTCGAACACTTCGCGGTGCACTACTTACACCGCTGAATGTGTCTGTACAAAATAAATTCAGTCAGTGTGCGGCTAATTCCTTTTTTATTCCGTCATTTGACTCTTTGCTTCCATAACTAATATATGTAAGAGGCGAAGTTTGTCTCGTTGCGATGAATAAGGCATTTTTTCTAAGAGTACAACACCGCAGATTTCTGCGACAGTACTTTACCTTCTTGTTTATAGCCTTTGATGTAATGGTTTAAAAATAAAGACAACTTAGATATTAACTAACTTATGAAAGGTACATTGGTAGGGGTAGAAAAACTTAGGGGGTGGCTGTAATTAATGATCCTTATAGAAAACTTGGTGTTTCGACCCCGTATAGAATAAGATAAATACAGAAAGATATAATTTTAAATATTTTTTTCTTATAAGTAGGTTTTTTACATATAAATCTTCTATACTATTATAATAAAGCGTAAAAACACTTCTTTGTTGCTTAAGATGTCAGCAGTTACAGCATATTTTTAATAATGCTCTCTTTAATAAAAAGCCCTACACTGACGTCACGCTTTAGGCTATATATTTTTACGCCATTGAACTTAGGGGGTAAATATTTTGGATAAAAAACCGTAATAGGAAAGAGACCATAAGTTGCTACCAACATAGGAAGCAAAATTGCCGAGGTTTGTCATGTTATTTTGACATTTGCAATTGATAACTTGACAAATGTGAACAATAAAATATTATATTTTTTTTATAATTTTATCCGGATAAAGCCGCACAAGAACAGCTGGTACAAAATAAACTACCATTCCGAACCGTTAAATTTACCGAAGAATGTAATATTAACCATCGCGATTTTGTCGAATGTAAATTTAAATTCTAAATGATGTGTTTCTATATTCCTAATAAATACAGGATCTCTTATCATCTTGTAAGTATCGTTTGTGTCGATATCAAGAGGTCGTGATGGTACAGTTTTCACGAACTGAGGCAACTCTCCGTGATGTGTCCGAGTATAGAAAAATAGTTTAGCGTCAGTTCTTGCGACACACATTGTGTATAGTTTCACGCATGTCGCGTATTCGAAACTCATATCGAAGAACAGTAGCTAGAATAAACAATTAAATTATTAGCAGAGTGAAAATGGTAGTGTACAAAGACTTTAAAAAATATATAGACAAGGCAAACAAATTTCGTTACTGGTACTTTCTCTGAAAGGTACTAAATTAGTTCTCAACTTTAGTGTCTATTTACATATAAGAAAACATTATACAATATTAATATAAATTCCATATTTATTTATAAAATAAAGTAAAGAGTGTTACAAAAATGCAAACATTTAAATATTCAATGACATATTTAAATTAAAAAATACAATTAAAAAAACATAGGTTTTGAGGATCTTTCAATAGCATTACTGTAAAAAGAAGTGTCAATTATGCCTCATCTATATATTTTGTAACTCTTTAGTTAAATAACGCAAATACTTTACCGCATAAACTCCGACTGCTATTGGACTTTGTGTCATAAAGATATCCTCTTCTAAATACATCAATGTTTTGAAATCGTCATCATAATAACAACCTTTTACAATCTGAGTGTAGTTTGCATACTCTGTAACAATAAAATTACCACAATATTTTTAACTAGAGGTTCTTTCTTTAATGAAAAGCCCTTTACTTACAACATGCTTTAGATAATATATTTTTACGCTATTCAATTTAAGGGACAAATAAATTGGAAAAAAATCACTTGGGAAATGGACCAAAAACTACAAGCTGCCAACATTAAGAAAGCAAGCAAGTTATTACGGTAACGGTAATTTTGACATTTGCTATTAGGAATTTGACAAATGTAAACAATAAAACAAAGTTTTTATAATTTCATGCGGATGAAGCCGCACGGGAACAGCTAATAGATATATAAAGGCCTGCAAAAACCATGTCATTATTTGATAGAATTATTTGGATAACGAAACCTTGATGCCAACCGTAGGGTAGAGGAGTAAGAAACTCCTGTAGAGTAGTGTAGTAGGATAAGATACGAAATGAGTATATTAGAGGAAGTTTGAGAGTAGCCCCAGCGGTTGAGAAAATAAGGAGTAAAAGGTTGGCGACGTATGGGCATGTTATGAGAAGGGATGAATCGCATGTAGCAAGACGGACATTAGTTATGAATGTGGAGTACTAGTAGAGGCAGACCTAGAAAGAGATGATGCATTGCGTGAAAGGTAACATGATCGAGAAGTGATGACTGAGATGACGGATGATATAGTGCTTTGGAGTACGAAAACCCGGCGCCGAATCTACGGGAGTAGGATAAGGCAGGAGAGATGGTGATCAATGTAGTGTATTAGTGTTATCGTAGTTTGATTAACTCACTTGGCTCCATAACTATAGATTTATCCTTCAGTTTCGAGAAGAACATGTCGATAAATGAATTATAACCCAATACATTGTGTATAGCCTCATGATAATATTGCGCTCGACGAGTCGTCTTCCTTACTTCAATGTGATCTTTTATCCATTTAACGTATGGTAATATTTCTATATATCTACCGGGTAATGCACATCCCGGCCCTGTTGTACTCAAACCAAGCTAGAATAACAAATTTGAACATTTACTAGCTGTTGCTCGTGACTTCGTATAGGTGAAATTAAAAAAGTAAGTGACCTATCTGTTCTTCCAAACAAATCTCTACATCTATGTTTATTTTCATCGAGATCTTAGCAGTTTAGGCTAAAAACCTTAACAAACTTGTATCTAAACTTTCGCATCTATGATATTAGTAAGATGATACTCTTTGATGACAGATTTTTTAAAAACGGCCCAGTAGTTTTTGAATTGTTTTTTGTAGCCATCGGTTGTCATGATGTTGATATTTTCCATGACTCCATGTACCGATTTTTGAACTTAATAAACAAAAAAGATCTCGGCTTATATTATCACCAGTAACACTGTTGTATTTTCTTTTATTGTTTTTGTTTAATATGTGTACCCTAACTTATATTAGTTGTAATTAACGTGATTCAACGTTTGTTATTAAAAAGTAAAACATCATTTTTTTGTGAGCGCTGTGTACGCCTGTCATCTGTATGTTCTTCTGCTTCTTTGTTTTTCATTGTATACGGCATATTATTTTGGTTGTGAACCTTGAACATGCAATTGGTGTACCTTTCCAATAAATAAATAAATAAAATAAATACACACAAAAAATTCAAAAATACATAGGGAAGTAAAGTGTTATTTTTCTATGCCCCGTTAGTAACTGTTTCGCACCTTCTACTATAAGAAAACACACGCTTTAGGATCATGGTCAAGCGCTAATTTATAACTAGCTATTGCTCACGACTTCGTCCATGTCAAAAATATATCCTATATTATTCAGCGATAATGTAGCTTTTTAATGGTGAAAGAATTTTTGAAATCGGTCCAGTAGTTTTTGAGTTATTTCAATACATACAAATTAAAGAAATATAAACCTTTCCTCTTTATAATATTAGTACAGATAAAAATTCACCAATATCCATCCATCGGTGGAGTTACTAGCCAGCGCCATGCCGCTGCTCATCACACAGCTGTCGCTCGTGTGCATCGCTTTGTAACACATTGTATGCGGAGGCCAAAGATATTCAAAGTTTATCTGTTATATTGAAAAACAGTAAACCTGATAAGAATTTTACACTCAATTAAAAGAAAATTTGAATCATCATTTGAATTTTTTTTATAACTTAAGGTAGCAACTCGCAAGCGGCGATCTGAATCTACCGAAATGGAAAGCGACCTCTGCCCATAAACATCCGCAATTGCAGATGCGCTGCCTACCCTCCATTGACGAAAGAAACGCACATAAAGAGGACATTTGCCCTTCCTATGCGTCTCCTCCACCGTCAAGCCCTCTTTTTCTTCTCATCCTTTCCTCTTTCCCACTCTAAGAAACGTATGGAAAGGGACACCGGCACCACACCAATCAGTTTTTAGTACGATAACTTCATGCGTTTCCGAACTACGTAACTCGAGGTTTGAACGTTGAGACATAGATCAAAAAATTAAGTTACTTGGTCACGATTTTTATCGTGTATCGTGTCGTGTATTCGTAACATCGAATTCCATTTATTTTTAAATAGAATTCGATGTTGAGTACAACATTACAATAAACACCTAAGATGGAATAAAAAAGAATATGTTTACCTCTTCACTGAAGTAAAATTCTTCACACATCGTTCTACTGACGAAATCTACAGGATATATATCTTGCTCTAACCGCATACGACCTGAATGAATTATTAGTTAAGTATTCCCAAAATGATAGAACTAAAACATCAATGGAAGACCTAGTGAAGATTGACGGCGAAATAGTTAAGAATTCACAAAATGTCAAAGAGATTAAAATAATGTATAGAGTAGGCATAGTTGACACTTTACTTGAGACATTTTTATCTCATCATCGCTACTACTACCTAAGATATATACTTATACGTATCCATAAAATGAATATCCAATAGGTGTCAATAAATATTTAAATGTTTATGTTTTGTTTTGTTTAATTTATTTTACATGTCAATTGACACGGGTGAAGTGGACGGAACTCTAGGAAAAGGTGGCTAAACTTGACAACTAACATAACACCTTCCAGAAGAAGTATCGGTGGAAAAATGTTGTTCATGTCTATATGTTTTTAATGTCTTTGTAAATTGTTGAAGAAATGTAGCAAATAACTAGGATACATTAAAAGGAACCTTCGAGAACAAATCTCTGAATTCTAACTCAAATTCGTGAATTCTTAATCGTTCATGAGTTCATTATTGTTATTTCTTCAAAACCCAAATGAGTTCTACTTCTATTATCATTGCTACAGCTTCTGGATTTAAAAAGTATGTATGGATTGTGTGAAAGAGGATATGCTTAAGGGAGTGAATTCAGATATGACGACTGATAGAGATGTTTGGAAGCACATACTGTGCCGACCGTCTGTAGAGACAAGGGTAAGGTAATTATGATATTATTTATAGATATGCTAGTTTTTGTCCGCGACTCCGTCCGCGTGGAGTTAAATAATAACAAAAGTGAGTAGCCTATGTGTTCATCCAGAGTATCCTTTACATCTGTACCAAATTTAATCGAAATCTGTTCAGCCGTTTAGGCTAGAAACTCTAACAAACATCCATCCATCTAAACTTTCGCATTTATAATATTAGTATGATGTAACTTACGTTTATTGTCTTTGTATCCAACATTATAAATCTTAATCCATCTGCTGACCTCCTTGTAGTCATATATCAACTGAATTGGCCTCCCTGAACGAAAATACATCATTAAAAATACTTGAAGCATTTTTCACGTCTATTCAAACAAAAATGTGACTCAAAAGTATAAGAGATTTTTTAATAATCTTGGTTATTCGTGGCTTTGATATTCTGTATTACTTTACCAAATACAAGTTTTATATCTAATGGGGTTTTAGTCAATTGATAGTATTTTCAGGATTTGTTTTACTACTGCTTTATAAATTAGTTTTAATTAAGCTTTAGTTTAATTAGTAAATTTAACAATATCAGTTTCTTTAGTTATATAAACAACATACACATAGGATAATCTTTTTTGGACACCACTCCCCTGTCTAAAGGGGAAATCATTAAAGTTGTTTTATTTATTTTTATTGCTAGATAAAGGTCTTCTCATGTCCCTTCTGATTGAATAATAAGAATAAATCTATATCTATACTAATATTATAAAGAGGAAAGATTTGTATTTTTGTATGTATTGAAATAACTCAAAAACTACTGGACCGATTTTAAAAATTCTTTCACCGTTAGAAAGGTAATATCAGTGAGTAACATAGGCTGTATTTAATACATTAAAAATTCACTTACAACGGGAAGGTTTATTGATGTTTTCAAAGAACAGTATAACCAGCGTATTGATATAACCCTGGTCATACTCCGGATGGAGAATACGACCAATGAGTCGACAGAACCAAGGATTCCCTCTGTCATAGAACATCGCACGCGAATGTTTTCTGAAATCGATATATAGATAAGCAAATGAGAATGTATGGAAGGCAGAGGAAGACCGAAGATATTTCTATTATGTTTAAGAGAACCCCATAAGAATGAAGAAAAATTCAGAGGTGATCACAGATAGATATGCAGAAGAGAACATATTATGCTGACTCTACCTAAGAAAAGGGCTGGTGAGACAATGAATTAAATTTGCTATCTACTTACGATTGAATACAGTACATTATCACACTCAAAATATAATCGCATTAGTTTTCAAACTACTCTGAGTATGAAGTAAATTGTTATTTTCACTTACTCCAATGAATCCCATTCAACGGCACCAATTTCTTTTGCGTTTCCTATCGCTATGCGATATTCTATTAATACGATATTCGTTACTTCTTCAATTGAATGATTATCTGAAAATAAAATAAACAGTGTAAAATATATTTCATTTGAGCTTGCTTTAGATAACTTCATCTACCACACAGAAGACAGGCGTGAAATGGAAGCAATTCCGTGTTTTGGTGAGTGTGATGCCGGAGGTCTAATTTAAGTCCCTTTCTCATTACCACCCTTTTCTTATAAGGAGAGGATGGGAAGGGGAAGTGGATTTGACGACGGAGGAGATACATAGGAAGGGGCAAGATTCTCTTTATGTGCGTCTCCTCGCGATCGCGGATGTCTATGGGCAGCGGTCGCTTCATTTTGATGGATTCAGGTGGCCGCTTGCTCGTTTGCCACCCTATGTTATAAAAAAATCCATATAGTTCTGTATGTAGTTCATCTCCCCTAATCTTAATCCCGTAAGGTCAACGCTCCGGGTTTTCGCCCTTCAAATAACTCTATCATCCATCATCTCAGTCATCACTCCCTTCTTGATCATGTCACCTTTCACGCAATCCACACATAGTTCTGTATGTGGCATTAAAAATAAAAAGCTGTCTGTACGGGTAATCTGGACTTGAACAGTTCTTTAAATGGAAGATGGCACATGTATACGTTAGTAATATAGGTTATTTTTAATTTCGCGTTAAAGAAGTTACAAGCAACAACAAGTATGCGAAATGATTACCTGGTTTATAAATAAGAACGCCCATCCACGGCATTATTGGTACCTTTTTAGTTTTCAGTCTTACACAGTATATTAAATAGTAACCTGAAATAAAAAGAAATTAATAAAAATAATACAACTTCCCAATAATTTTAAGTTACTTACAGAAGAAAAGAAAAACTATTATCACGATTGATTTCATTTTGTAATTCCTTTGAATTCAATTCGTCATTCCCCATCAATGTCTTGACGTAAACTACCAAATGTAAGTTAGTATAGTGTACAAGTTGGCGCGTGCCGTATAACAATTGTTTCTAAAAACTGAAGCTATTGTATGAAATGTGAGCATTGTTTAAAAAGTCTTTTTATAATATTTTAGATTAGACGCCGTACGGTAATTTGATGACACGTTTCCGAACTAAATTATTTATAGGTAACTTTGATGGTTCGGTATAACACTATTCAAAATTAGCGGCTCAGAATGTCGTACGAAACGCTGCGTACAAAAAACTAATCGATGGTATATGAAGGGATGCGGAAATAGCATGATCAGTTTTAAAAATTTTTACTTTTACTAATAGATGTAATATTCAAATCGAAGGGTGCAGAAAACCTCACTCTTTTCGGAGTTTAAAAGTTAGTTACACACTGTGCTGTGTGCCTCTCCTTGCTTGGATTACATGCGATATTTCAAGCCGCCAACATACTTGAATACAAAATGGCACCGAAATCATACTAATATTTTGAACGCGAAAGTTAAGATGGATGGATTTTGTTAGAGTTCGTAGTCTAAACGGCTGAATGGATCTGTATGTGACATAAAAGTAGAAGGTAGTCTGGAAGAACACATAGTAGATATTTGCTCTTACGAAGCCAAAGTGCGTAACTACTTTTCACCACAAATCATCAACAAATACTTGTGAGTTATTTTAATTTTTAAACATGTTGGACCAGTCGAACCTGTTACAGAACGGTAATTAACTCCGAGTGAAAATAAAAAAAAAACATGTGTCAGTCCGTTGAGACAATTGTCGGTAAATCATTACTTCATTCACTTGCATGGAGGCGTTTCATTATTTTTTGTACATCTTTCTCGGTACAGTTAACAAAAAAAGTTTTGCTACAATTAATAAACCTTAAATTAGACCAGTTATCTAAATTCTTAAATTCTCTGTAAACTTTTATTATAGTTCACTGAGTGTGAAAATGTAAGAAATAATTATTGCTATAATGGTTTGAGTCAATTACCAATGTTCAATATCTTTAACTTCTTTATTTTTACAAAAAAAATACAATAACTTAGTAATGTAGACTACATTTATGCTGGGTTTCTGAAGTTTCCGTTAATTTTATTATTACCTATTGATTCATTAGCGTTAGGTTAACCTACGTTTTAACGGAGTAAAAATCTACGTAGTACGGAAACGCATTTCATGAATTTATAGAATAAAAAACACTAAGAATGGTTAAACGTAGTTGGGAAACCGGCCATTTTTAGCTTCACACTGATTTTTACCCCAGAATTTTTGCAACATTTTTTTAGAGAAATACGATTGTTTTTGTCAACCGTACAAGATCAGTTCCCACAGGTCTCGTCAACAGTGTAGGTGCACGTCGCATGCAATCAGCAGCCAGGCCGTCCAAGATGGCGACCGTTTTAATTATTGTAGACAGAAACGACATGGAAACCAGAAGCCTACTATTTTTGAAAAATGATAGCGAATACACTATTATAAAAAACTAGCTGTCGCTCGCGACTTCGTCTGCTTAAAACTGATTTATAGCCTTTGTTACTCACTGATAACGTAGCTTTTTAATGGTGAAAGAATTTTTTCAATCGGCCCGGTACTTTTTAAGCTATTTCAATACATGCAAAAATAAAAATATTACCACTTTTCAATATTAAATTAGACAAGCTTTTTACTTGGATGTATGTCACTACGTCTATCCAGAACTGTTCAACGGATCTCGATGGCATAGATGTATAACATAATCAGACAGAACACGTAGGCTTATAAAGCTTATTAATAAGTTATGGACAGAGTCTCGGGCCACAACTAGTATACGTTAATCAAGATATCTATTTTTTTTATTTTAACAACCTTTTATATAACTAATATGTGTGTTTGTTGAATTTAGGAATCGAATCTCATACGATTGCATTTAAAATAGAATTTACAACTGAACTCCTACCACTCTAATATCCTTGTAATACGATTGTCCATTTAAAATAGACCTATGTATTTACAAATCAGATAAAATTTTTCTAACAACAATGTCAACATATACCGAAATCAGATGTCTTACTAAACTGGTATATCATCGTTGAATAGAGATACGTCTTATCAGATTATCAATTGATATACTCGAGATTTTTGTATTAGATTTTGTATTTTAATACCTTGACTTAAGGTTTAATTTGATTTGAAATAATCACTGGAAGATTACGAGCATAAACTAACAGATGAACAAGAAATAATCTTAAAGAATTGAGTGTTGTTTTAAGGCTTTTATTAAATTTTATTTTGAACTTTACTCTATTGTGTTAAAGTACAAAATTGAATTAAACGTTTACAGATTGTAATATTTCTAAGAATCAATCATTTTATGTTTTGATCTCAGTGGTTAGTGTTGAAAATTTCAGTTTCTTTTTAATTGTTTTTTTAATGGTGCTTTAACTATGGATGGGTTTATATTTAGTTTAAAAGAGTTGTGTTTTTTATTATTTATTGTGATAACATTGGTGCTTGTTATGATGTATCTTCATATATGTGATGTGATGATCGGTAGATATGTCTTTAGAATATTCAGTAAGTATTAAAGTTAACCATTTATGTAAACAACGTGGGATTAAAAAAAAAACAAAAGTATGTAGCCTATGTGTTTTTCCAGACTATCCTCTACATCCATGCAAAATTACAACGAGATCCGTTTAGCCGTTTAGGCTACAAACTCTAACAAACATCCATCCATCTAAACTTTCGCATTTATAATATTAGTAAGAAGTAAGATTAAAGACTAGCTGTTCCCGTGCGGCTTCATCCGTATGTAATTATGAAAATTTTATTTTATTGTTAACACGTGTCAAATTGTCAATTGCAAATGTCAAAATGACATGACATGATGACAAACTTTGGCAATCTCGCTTCCTTGATGCGGCAACTTATGGTCTGTCCCACATTAAAGTTTTTATCCAAAATCATTACCCCCTATGTTTAATTGCGTAAAAATATATAGCCTAAAGCGTGATGCAAGTGTATGGTTTTTTATTAAAAAAAGAATTATTCATAAATATGCTGTAATTGCTGACATCTTAGGCAACAAAGCAGTGTGTATTTACGCTTTATTATAATAGTATAGATACTACATATAATTAGTGCCAGAAAGAATCCCATTGTTAACATGAGTCAACCAATTATAACATTTTCGTTCCGTACACTGGAAAATAACACCTGATTCATTTAATTGCTATAAAGTTATAACTTATTATATGGTTATATAATATAATTAGTAGTTGTCAACATCAACTTAACTTCGATATTGGGAAAAAAATAGCAAGACTAGATTTCATACTTAACTCCATTGGTGCGGTCAAAAAATAGTTACCAGCCAGTGTTCTTCTAGACTATGTTCTACCTACACCTTTCATTCAAACATATAGAACCGTTCCTTAGTTGTGTGGCATACATCTCTCTAAATTTTCATTTATAATATCACTAATTTTGATCGCGACTTCATTCGCGTGGAGTTAAAAATAAATTTTTTTTAGTACTAGCTGTTCCCATGCGACATCATCCGCATAAAATTATAAAAATTTAATTTTAATGTTCACATTTGTCAAATTATCAATTGCAAATGTCAAAATGACATGACGATGTCAAACCATAGCAACCTTGCTTCCTTGATGTTGGCATCAACTTGTATCTTTCCCACATGAAGGTTTTTTCCAATTTACTTACCGCCTAAGTTTAAAAGCGTAAAAATATATAGCATAAAGCGTATCGTATTGTGTAGGGCTTTTTATTATTCGAAAACATGCTGTGATTGCTGACATCTTACACCACAAAGTAGTGTGTGTTTACGCTTTATCATATTAGTATACATAAGAAGTGTAAAATAGAATTCGTCTCATAATTATATTCATTCATTCATTCATCTACTCACCCTATCCTACTCCCGTAGGCCCGGCGCACCGGGTTATCCTCCAAATAACTCTACCCATCTCTTTCTAGGTTTACCTCTACCGGTGTACCTCCACATTCATAACTTCCTTCTTGTTACATTCATCCAAACCAATTTTGTATTTTAAATTCTTTTGGATTTTGATGTATTTATTATATGTTATAGTTATCTTAATTAAAAGAATGATTAACATTTAGAAAATCGACCGCGGATAGGTTCGAAGCAATTAGTATATTATCGAATCTGCTCGTCACTTGATAGCTATTATCTTGCTACGTACGCCGTTATTTTTTGATAATGCCCCGACTGGATACATTGTACTTAGTGTTTTAGTATTGTATATTAAAAAAAATGGATTACATTGTGTTGTTCGCGCCATTTCTAATGTTGATTGCCGTTTATGTTGTGGTTTGCATGTGTTTGCATTGCTGTCAAATAATTGGTGAGTTTAAATTTTTATTCGAGCGTTCTTTTTGACAGATATGTTTTTTAAATGTTTGAATGTGGCCAGTGTGTGATTTAAAACCTTTTTCGTTGGAAAAATACGAGATAATGATGTCGATTAGTCATTGACTTAATCTACAATGATTCATCAGGTATGAAATTATGAATCAGTTTATTGCATATTTAAAAAAATATATTCTGTTACATATGTTATAGGAAGACTAAGAATTAAAAAAAAAAACTAAAACACTACTAATATAATAACTGCGAAAGTTTTGATGTTTTTTCCACCAAAACGGCTTAAATAATCTTATAAAATTTGACATTGACTAGAAGAACATATATACTAAGTTTTTTAAATTCGCGCAGATGGAGTAGCAAGCGAATAGTAATAAATTACAAAATCATGTTTCTCGTTAATTAGTTAATTGTACTGAAGGAAATTAATTATGTCTGTTTTATATCGACCACTTATCAACACTTATGTTTACAATCTGTGTGACCGTGAACTGATTGTCAAAGGTGTTTTTTTTTTTAATATTAGTAGACATTTGTGGAGCAGTAAAACCCCCTAAGAAAAAACGAACCCTCGACCGCAAGATCGATAGTCCGTACC